TGACATGGTGAGTGACAGTTAAACCTACATTGATGGACAAGATGAGTGATAGAGAAACTTACATTGATGGACAAGGGGAGTGACAGTTAAACCTACATTGATGGACAAAGTGAGTGACAGTTTAACTTGCATTGTGAGTGACAGAGAAACTTACACTGATGGACATGGTGAGTGACAGTTAAACCTACATTGATGGACAATGTAAGGTAGAGAGAAACTTACATTGATGGACAAGGTGAGTGACAGTTAAACCTATATTTATGTACAAGGTGGGTGACAGTTAAACTTACATTTATGGACAAGGAAAGTGACAGTTAAACCTACATCGATGGACAAGGTGAGGGGGAAAGAAACTTACATTGATTGACATGGTGAGTGACAGTTAAACCTACATTGATGGACAAGATGAGTGATAGAGAAACTTACATTGATGGACAAGGGGAGTGACAGTTAAACCTACATTGATGGACAAAGTGAGTGACAGTTAAACTTGCATTGTGAGTGACAGAGAAACTTACACTGATGGACATGGTGAGTGACAGTTAAACCTACATTGATGGACAATGTAAGGTAGAGAGAAACTTACATTGATGGACAAGGTGAGTGACAGTTAAACCTATATTTATGTACAAGGTGGGTGACAGTTAAACTTACATTTATGGACAAGGAAAGTGACAGTTAAACCTACATCGATGGACAAGGTGAGGGGGAAAGAAACTTACATTGATTGACATGGTGAGTGACAGTTAAACCTACATTGATGGACAAGATGAGTGATAGAGAAACTTACATTGATGGACAAGGGGAGTGACAGTTAAACCTACATTGATGGACAAAGTGAGTGACAGTTAAACTTGCATTGTGAGTGACAGAGAAACTTACACTGATGGACATGGTGAGTGACAGTTAAACCTACATTGATGGACAATGTAAGGTAGAGAGAAACTTACATTGATGGACAAGGTGAGTGACAGTTAAACCTATATTTATGTACAAGGTGGGTGACAGTTAAACTTACATTTATGGACAAGGAAAGTGACAGTTAAACCTACATCGATGGACAAGGTGAGGGGGAAAGAAACTTACATTGATTGACATGGTGAGTGACAGTTAAACCTACATTGATGGACAAGATGAGTGATAGAGAAACTTACATTGATGGACAAGGGGAGTGACAGTTAAACCTACATTGATGGACAAAGTGAGTGACAGTTAAACTTGCATTGTGAGTGACAGAGAAACTTACACTGATGGACATGGTGAGTGACAGTTAAACCTACATTGATGGACAATGTAAGGTAGAGAGAAACTTACATTGATGGACAAGGTGAGTGACAGTTAAACCTATATTTATGTACAAGGTGGGTGACAGTTAAACTTACATTTATGGACAAGGAAAGTGACAGTTAAACCTACATCGATGGACAAGGTGAGGGGGAAAGAAACTTACATTGATTGACATGGTGAGTGACAGTTAAACCTACATTGATGGACAAGATGAGTGATAGAGAAACTTACATTGATGGACAAGGGGAGTGACAGTTAAACCTACATTGATGGACAAAGTGAGTGACAGTTAAACTTGCATTGTGAGTGACAGAGAAACTTACACTGATGGACATGGTGAGTGACAGTTAAACCTACATTGATGGACAATGTAAGGTAGAGAGAAACTTACATTGATGGACAAGGTGAGTGACAGTTAAACCTATATTTATGTACAAGGTGGGTGACAGTTAAACTTACATTTATGGACAAGGAAAGTGACAGTTAAACCTACATCGATGGACAAGGTGAGGGGGAAAGAAACTTACATTGATTGACATGGTGAGTGACAGTTAAACCTACATTGATGGACAAGATGAGTGATAGAGAAACTTACATTGATGGACAAGGGGAGTGACAGTTAAACCTACATTGATGGACAAAGTGAGTGACAGTTAAACTTGCATTGTGAGTGACAGAGAAACTTACACTGATGGACATGGTGAGTGACAGTTAAACCTACATTGATGGACAATGTAAGGTAGAGAGAAACTTACATTGATGGACAAGGTGAGTGACAGTTAAACCTATATTTATGTACAAGGTGGGTGACAGTTAAACTTACATTTATGGACAAGGAAAGTGACAGTTAAACCTACATCGATGGACAAGGTGAGGGGGAAAGAAACTTACATTGATTGACATGGTGAGTGACAGTTAAACCTACATTGATGGACAAGATGAGTGATAGAGAAACTTACATTGATGGACAAGGTGAGTGACAGTTAAACCTACATTGATGGACAAGGTGAAGGGGAAAGAAACATACATTAATGGACAAGATGTGTGACAGTTAAACTTACATTGATGGACAAGGTTTGCGACAGTTAAACATACATTGATGAATAAGGAGCGGGAGAGTTAAACCTACATTGATGGACAAGGTGAGTGAGAGTTAAATTTACATTGATGGACAAGGTGAGGGAGAGAGGAACTTACATTAATGGCCAAGGTGTGTGACAGTTAAGCTTACATTGATGGACAAGGTGAGTAATAGTTAAACCTACATTGATGGACAAAGTGAGGGAGAGAGAAACTTACATTAATGGACAAGGTGAGTGAGAGAGAAACTTCTATTGATGGACAAGGTGAGGGAGAGAAAAAACTACAATGATGGACAAGGTGAGTGATTGAGAAACGTACATTTAAGGACATGGTGAGTTATAGTTAAACCTACATTGATTGACAAGTTGATGGAGAGAGGAACTTATATTGAGGGACATGGTGAGTGAGAGAGAAACCTACATTGATGGACATGGTGAGTGACAGTTACACTTACATTGATTGACAAGCTGAGGGACAGTTAAACCAACATTGACGGACAAGGTGAGTGACAGTTAAACGTACATTTATAGACATGGTGTTTGACAGTCAAACCCACATTGATGGACATGGTGAGGGACGATTAAACCTACATTTATAGACATGGTGTTTGACAGTCAAACACATATTGATGGATAAGGTGAGGGAGAGAGAAGCTTACATTAATGGACGAGGTGTTTGAAAGTTAAACACAAATTGATGGAAAAGGTGAGTGAGAGATAAACCTACATTGATGGACATGGTGAGTAGGAGAGAAACCTATATTGATGGACAAGGTGAGTGAGTGAGGAACTTATACTGATGGACATGGTGAGTGAGAGTTAAACCCACATTGATGGAAAAGGTGAGTGATAGAGAAACCTACATTGATGGACAGGGTGAGTGACAGTTAAACCTATATTTATGTACAAGGTGTGCGACAGTTAAACCTACATTGATGGACAAGGTGAGTGACAGTTAAACCTACATTGATGTACACGTTGAGGGAGAAGAAACTTGCATTAATGTACAAGTTTGTGACAGTTAAAATTACATTGATGGACGAGGTGTCGGGGAGTTAAACCTACATTGATGGACAAGGTGAGTGACAGTTCAATTTACCTTGATGGACAAGGTGAGTGACAGTTAAACCTACATTGATGGACAAGGTGAGGGGGAAAGAAACTTACATTAATGGACAAGGTGTGTGACAGTTAAACATACATTGATGAATAAGGAGCGGGTGAGTTAAACCTACATTGATGGACAAGGTGAGGGAGAGTTAAATGTACATTGATGGACAAGGTGAGGGAGAGAGGAACTTACATTAATGGCCAAGGTGTGTGACAGTTAAGCTTACATTGATGGACAAGGTGAGTGATAGTTAAACCTACATTGATGGACAAAGTGAGGGAGAGAGAAACTTTATTAATGGACAAGGTGAGTGAGAGAGAAACTTCTATTGATGGACAAGGTGAGGGAGAGAGAAATTAACATTAATGGACAAGATGAGTGACAGTTAAACCTACATTGATGGACAAGGTGAGTGACAGTTAAACCTACATTGATGGACAAGATGAGTGACAGTTAAACCTACATTGATGGACAAAGTGAAACCTACATTGATTGACATGGTGAGTGACAGTTAAACCTACATTGATGGACAAGGTGAGGGAGAGAGAAACTTACATTAATGGACAAGGTGAGTGACAGTTAAACCTACATGGATGGACATGGTGAGTAACGGTTAGACTTGCACTGTGAGTGACAGAGAAACTTACACTGATGGACATGGTGAGTGACAGTTAAACCTACTTTGATTGACATGGTGAGTGACAATTAAACCTACATTGATGGACAAGGCAAGTGACAGTTAAACTTACATTTATGGACAAGGGAAGTGACAGTTAAACTTATATTGATGGACAAGGTCAGTGATAGAGAAACTTATATTTTTGGACATAATGAGTGACAGTTAAACCTACATTGGTGGACAAGGTGACTGACAGTTAATTTACATTGATTGACAAGATGTGCGACAGTTAAACCTACATTTATAGACAAGGTGAGGGAGAGAAAAACCTACATTGATGGACAAGGTGAGTGATTGAGAAACGTACATTTACGGACATGGTGAGTTACAGTTAAACCTACATTGATGGACAAGTTGATGGAGAGAGGAACTTATAATGAGGGACATGGTGAGTGAGAGAGAAACCTACATTGATTGACCAGGTGAGGGACAGTTAACCCAACATTGAAGGACAAGGTGAGTGACAGTTAAACGTACATTTATAGACATGGTGTTTGACAGTCAAACCCACATTGATGGACATGGTGAGGGACAGTTAAACCTACATTTATAGACATGGTGTTTGATAGTCAAACCCATATTGATGGATAAGGTGAGGGAGAGAGAAGCTTACATTAATGGACGAGGTGTTTGAAAGTTAAACCCACATTGATGGAAAAGGTGAGGGAGAGATAAACCTATATTGATTGACAAGGTGAATGGGAGAGAAACCTTCATTAATGGACATAGTGAATTACAGTTAAATCTACAGTGATGGACAATGTGAGTGGTAGTGAAACATACGTTGTGAGTGAGAGAGAAACCTACATTCATGGACAAGGTGTGTGAGTGAGAAACTTACATTGATGGACATGGTGAGTGAGAGAGCAGCCAAAGCAGGAGATATGGTTCCCTTTGTGAAGAGTACAACTATAATTATAATTATTGTCAGTACAGAACCGCCAAAGTCTAATCGAAGGCCCATCCAGTAGATGCAAGATTCAAAGAGAAAGAGTCCCATTGAAGTCTTGTCCGAGTATTCTTTGAATCTTAAATGGAGAAAAATCTAATTATTTACTAGTGTCATGTCTGTCCGTTGTTGGTACTTTGATATCTCATTATTGAATAATATATCATTTTCGAAACTGAAAAGTTTGATGTAAAAATTGCTTCGATGATAAGTGGAAATTGATTTAAGTCTCAAAAGGGTATTAATAATAATAATAATATACAACATTAGATATAGCGCCCTATCCAGCTTACATAAGCCACTCTAAAGCGCTTTACAGTACATAGATATACAATTAATACAATTAGCATATACATTAATTAATTCAATTTTGAAGATTTCGCAGGAGCTGCCTTATCAGGCGCTAACTACTATGCCACCTGGCTAATATCTCCCTATGTGTGTATGCCTACGTGTGTGCTGAAGATGTATTGTTTTCTGTTTTGTAGTGGGACCGTGCTTCCAACGGCATCTTTTATAGTGCCACCTCACTTGAATGCTACAGCACAGATACCGCAACATCCACCCCAGACCATTTTATACTCCACCTTAATTGTTGGAGTTGTGTGGGCAGGAGAAAAACGCTTTCTCTGATATTCCATGCGTTCGACGACTTCGAGCATCGAGCCCCGGCGTGGAAGGCCGAAAAGTTAACCACTCGACCAATCCGCCAATATTTGATGAGGTCGCCATAAGTGATAGAACGTTTTAAGCATATTTCTCGCCGGAACTTACCCATTCACGAAGTTGTTTTCTTGCGAGTAGGAAACAATGGTACTAAGTCCATAACATGATGTGGTCACATGACTTAAAAGTGGTGACCTTACGACATTCTCAAGTCGTTTGATATTTCGGATTGACACGGCTGCCATGGTTTTAATAACATAACAGTACAATCCAACGGGAACAACTGCGATGAGGAGGAAGGGGAAATTGTAGGATACGCTGACAATAGATGCTATTATCAGGATCGTGACCTGGAGTAGATTATCCATCAGATTAGGGAGGAACACATCAACTGCAATAGAAAACAAAAATGTCAATATTAGGTTTGATGCTTGTCCCTATTACTTTTCACTATGCTATCTAATTATTCTTTTTTATATGGGGGCCGCGGTGGCCAAGTGGTGAAGGCATCTGGCATCTAGGTGGTGACTAGTATAAGTTGTAAAAAATTGTTCCTATTTAAGAAAAGTTTATATAAGGCATCTGATATTCTGCTACCACTAGCCCTTCATCAGTGGGTCGCGGGTTCGAGGCCACGTGGAGGTTGGTGGTTTTTCTCCGGGAGCTCCGTATTTGCTCCACCACCCCAACCTCGCGCGTGTGCATAGTTGTTAATAGGACGTAAAACACTAACAAACCAAATCACTAATAAATGGTCAAACAAAGTAATTTTATTGAAACGAATATAAAATAATCGTACGCCTTGTTGTGGTGATTACGATTCGGACTTTGTAACAAAGACTAGCTTGTATATGATTAAGAGTTTCAGTTTAATTTATTTTTAACAAGATATGAAATTAAGCCTCGGGACAAAACGCCTACTTCGCAACCAGTATTAACAGGCTATTTAATTACATAAGATTTACCGGAACAAGTAGTAAGAATCACAAGCATGGAGACAAAACCTACCTAACACAGTAATAACGACCTATATAATAAATTAAATGAATAGAATATTGACTTGAATTTTTTTTTATTAAGAGAAACCCAGCTAGAAAATAGATTAAGCAAAGTGTCAAAACCATAATTCGAACTCAAAATTAACAAAACAATGGTGAAATATGAACAAAGGGACGATTAGCACAGATACTCTCGAAAAGTACAAGGAGAACAAGACCAGGCGTTCATGAAAGGTAAGCGTCTTCTGCTTTATCGACATCATGTAAATTTGAGTGGAATCCAATGAAATCATATTTCATTTTTCTGTATACGTCCTTTGTAAACTTAAAGGACTTTATTTGAAGGATTGTTGCTATAGTCTCATTTACAAGATTGAATGCAAGACAATACGATTTTGTATATATATATCTATGAATAATGGAAGATTTTAAATATCTTGAATAACTTCATATTAGTTACAAGCTATGGCCGTCCATTTCCTACCTGCTTCCTGACATATATTTGAAGTAAAATCAGTACCTGCGTGCAGGAATCAATTTATTAATTCAAATATCAAACTCGCTTCAAATCTGATAAATACACTTACCATCCTCTCCATCTCGCAATAATCTGATAAATACACTTACCATCTTTTACATCTCGCAGGAATCTGATAAATACACTTACCATCCTCTACATCACGCGAGAATCGATTAAGGAGTCGACCCGGTGGGTTTGCGTCAAAAAACTGCATAGGAGCACTCATCACTCTCACTACGGCATTGTTGTGCAGGGTCACTGCAGCCTTTATCAACACCTGCGTTACATATCGAATGATAAATAAAACAAAAGGTTTCATTTTGTTGATAATCGTACATTGCATGAGTTAACCGTTTAGGGTTTAGAATAACTAAGTTGCTTTCGTAGTTTAAGCACGATGCAAGCCTATTTAGAAAGTATCCGTTAGATAATTTGCTTGATCATTATCAAAGATTTCTGTAAACATTTGTGGTTTTGATGTCAAACTCATTATAAACGAACTGTGGTTTATTGAACTGAGTCCACCCGTGTATATCGAAATGGGAATTCAACTGTGCAGAAATTGAATGACACTTTGTTTCTAGAGAACAGAAGAACAGGTCGCTTTCTGAATAAGCGATATCGTGCAACGGTGCAGAAATTAAATATATTTGTCCTCCTTGAAACGATATGTTATATTGTGGATTTTTCATCTCATCCAATTTCATCAGGCTTGTATGCTATTTCTGATCATGGTTGGTCACCTATACTTAGTTACGCCTTTTTATGGGCATATAGTTGCTACATATAGCAAAGTTGTTTCAAAATATTGATTTACATACGTTGTGTATTAGAAAGGACTGTATACAAAGTGATCAAATTAAACGAATATCGCTAACACATGTGCCGTCATCAGCCAAAAGGACAAGACAAATTACGATTTCAATCGTAGATTTTTTTCATTTACATCAATTTGATTACGAAAGATATTCTAAAATATTTGTATAAGAAGGAATTACTTACTGTGCCGGAAGTTACTCCTTTCAGTACAGCCAGTACAGCTATCACTAGAGTTGTAAACATATAAACAATCAAATACCAATCCGTTTCCTCTAGTTCCTCTTCCATCTCCGAGGAGGACGTCGTATTTGCTGCCGGTACTGTGGACATGGTGGTACTATCACTAATTGACCATATCATGTTTGTAGCGTTGGAGTCAGAAAGGAGTGTTATCTGATCCTTGGTAGTCTGAAAAAAAGAGGGTGACTAATACAACAACAACTATCAACAAAATCTGCAAACTAACCAATAAATACCAAATTCAGTACATTTGAATGATATTGTTAAAAACAATAAATTAAAAGTATATATATCGTGGTAGTTCAGATGAGTGTGACTTTGGTGGTGATGGTGAAGATTAAAGTAGCGGTGAAGGTAGTAGTGATGATGGTGATGATGGTGTAGTTTGTAGGGACATTGTAGTAAATGGTGATGTGATGGTGATGATGTTGGTGGTAGGGCAGGTGTTGGTAGTGATGGTGTTGGTTGTAGGGCTGGTGTTGGTAGTGATAATGTTGGTGGTAGGGCCGGTGTTGGTAGTGATAATGTTGGTGGTAGGGCCGGTGTTGGTAGTGATGGTGTTGGTGGTAGGGGCGGTGTTGGTAGTGATGATGTTGGTGGTAGGGCCGGTGTTGGTAGTGATGATGTTGGTGGTGGGGCCGGTGTTGGTAGTGATAATGTTGGTGGTAGGGCCGGTGTTGGTAGTGATAATGTTGGTGGTAGGGCCGGTGTTGGTAGTGATAATGTTGGTGGTAGGGCCGGTGTTGGTAGTGATAATGTTGGTGGTAGGGCCGGTGTTGGTAGTGATAATGTTGGTGGTAGGGCCGGTGTTGGTAGTGATAATGTTGGTGGTAGGGCCGGTGTTGGTAGTGATAATGTTGGTGGTAGGGCCGGTGTTGGTAGTGATAATGTTGGTGGTAGGGCCGGTGTTGGTAGTGATAATGTTGGTGGTAGGGCCGGTGTTGGTAGTGATAATGTTGGTGGTAGGGCCGGTGTTGGTAGTGATAATGTTGGTGGTAGGGCCGGTGTTGGTAGTGATAATGTTGGTGGTAGGGCCGGTGTTGGTAGTGATAATGTTGGTGGTAGGGCCGGTGTTGGTAGTGATAATGTTGGTGGTAGGGCCGGTGTTGGTAGTGATAATGTTGGTGGTAGGGCTGGTGTTGGTAGTGATAATGTTGGTGGTAGGGCCGGTGTTGGTAGTGATGATGTTGGTGGTAGGGCCGGTGTTGGTAGTGATAATGTTGGTGGTAGGGCCGGTGTTGGTAGTGATAATGTTGGTGGTAGGGCCGGTGTTGGTAGTGATAATGTTGGTGGTAGGGCCGGTGTTGGTAGTGATAATGTTGGTGGTAGGGCCGGTGTTGGTAGTGATAATGTTGGTGGTAGGGCCGGTGTTGGTAGTGATAATGTTGGTGGTAGGGCCGGTGTTGGTAGTGATAATGTTGGTGGTAGGGCCGGTGTTGGTAGTGATAATGTTGGTGGTAGGGCCGGTGTTGGTAGTGATAATGTTGGTGGTAGGGCCGGTGTTGGTAGTGATAATGTTGGTGGTAGGGCCGGTGTTGGTAGTGATAATGTTGGTGGTAGGGCCGGTGTTGGTAGTGATAATGTTGGTGGTAGGGCCGGTGTTGGTAGTGATAATGTTGGTGGTAGGGCCGGTGTTGGTAGTGATAATGTTGGTGGTAGGGCCGGTGTTGGTAGTGATAATGTTGGTGGTAGGGCCGGTGTTGGTAGTGATAATGTTGGTGGTAGGGCCGGTGTTGGTAGTGATAATGTTGGTGGTAGGGCCGGTGTTGGTAGTGATAATGTTGGTGGTAGGGCCGGTGTTGGTAGTGATAATGTTGGTGGTAGGGCCGGTGTTGGTAGTGATAATGTTGGTGGTAGGGCCGGTGTTGGTAGTGATAATGTTGGTGGTAGGGCCGGTGTTGGTAGTGATAATGTTGGTGGTAGGGCCGGTGTTGGTAGTGATAATGTTGGTGGTAGGGCCGGTGTTGGTAGTGATAATGTTGGTGGTAGGGCCGGTGTTGGTAGTGATAATGTTGGTGGTAGGGCCGGTGTTGGTAGTGATAATGTTGGTGGTAGGGCCGGTGTTGGTAGTGATAATGTTGGTGGTAGGGCCGGTGTTGGTAGTGATAATGTTGGTGGTAGGGCCGGTGTTGGTAGTGATAATGTTGGTGGTAGGGCCGGTGTTGGTAGTGATAATGTTGGTGGTAGGGCTGGTGTTGGTAGTGATAATGTTGGTGGTAGGGCCGGTGTTGGTAGTGATGATGTTGGTGGTAGGGCCGGTGTTGGTAGTGATAATGTTGGTGGTAGGGCCGGTGTTGGTAGTGATAATGTTGGTGGTAGGGCCGGTGTTGGTAGTGATAATGTTGGTGGTAGGGCCGGTGTTGGTAGTGATAATGTTGGTGGTAGGGCCGGTGTTGGTAGTGATAATGTTGGTGGTAGGGCCGGTGTTGGTAGTGATAATGTTGGTGGTAGGGCCGGTGTTGGTAGTGATAATGTTGGTGGTAGGGCCGGTGTTGGTAGTGATAATGTTGGTGGTAGGGCCGGTGTTGGTAGTGATAATGTTGGTGGTAGGGCCGGTGTTGGTAGTGATAATGTTGGTGGTAGGGCCGGTGTTGGTAGTGATAATGTTGGTGGTAGGGCCGGTGTTGGTAGTGATAATGTTGGTGGTAGGGCCGGTGTTGGTAGTGATAATGTTGGTGGTAGGGCCGGTGTTGGTAGTGATAATGTTGGTGGTAGGGCCGGTGTTGGTAGTGATAATGTTGGTGGTAGGGCCGGTGTTGGTAGTGATAATGTTGGTGGTAGGGCCGGTGTTGGTAGTGATAATGTTGGTGGTAGGGCCGGTGTTGGTAGTGATAATGTTGGTGGTAGGGCCGGTGTTGGTAGTGATAATGTTGGTGGTAGGGCCGGTGTTGGTAGTGATAATGTTGGTGGTAGGGCCGGTGTTGGTAGTGATGATGTTGGTGGTAGGGCCGGTGTTGGTAGTGATAATGTTGGTGGTAGGGCCGGTGTTGGTAGTGATAATGTTGGTGGTAGGGCCGGTGTTGGTAGTGATAATGTTGGTGGTAGGGCCGGTGTTGGTAGTGATAATGTTGGTGGTAGGGCCGGTGTTGGTAGTGATAATGTTGGTGGTAGGGCCGGTGTTGGTAGTGATAATGTTGGTGGTAGGGCCGGTGTTGGTAGTGATAATGTTGGTGGTAGGGCCGGTGTTGGTAGTGATAATGTTGGTGGTAGGGCCGGTGTTGGTAGTGATAATGTTGGTGGTAGGGCCGGTGTTGGTAGTGATGGTGTTGGTGGTAGGGGCGGTGTTGGTAGTGATGATGTTGGTGGTAGTGGCGGTGTTGGTAGTGATGATGTTGGTGGTAGGGCCGGTGTTGGTAGTGATGATGTTGGTGGTAGGGGCGGTGTAGGTAGGGATGGTGTTAGTTGTAGGAACATTGTAGTAAGTGGTGATGTTGATGTTGATGATGATGTTGGTAGGGCCGGTGTTGGAAGTGATGGTGTTGGTTGTAGGGAAGATATAGGATGTGGTGATGATGGTGATGTAGGTGTAGGTTGTTGGAACGGTGTACGTAGTGGTGGTGTTGTTGGTGAGGGTGTTGATCGTAGTGACAATGCAGGTAATGGTGACGTTGGTGGTGATTATGTAGGTTTTGTAGGGACAGTATGGGTAGTGTTGACGTTGGTGGTGATTATGTAGGTTGTAGGGATGGTGTGGGCAGTGGTGGTGTAAGTGGTGGTGGTGTAGGTTGTAGAGACGGTGTAGGTTTAGGTAGTGGTGGTGTTGGTAGTGATGATGAAGGTTGAAGGGGCGATGTAGGTAATGGTGATGTTGGTTGTGATGGTGTAGGTTGTAGGGATGGTGTAGGTAGTGGCGACGTTGGTGGTGATGGTGTAGGTTGTAGGGGCGGTATAGATAGTGGTGGTGTTGGTGGTGATGGTGTTGTTTGTAGGGAATGGTGACATTGGTGGTGATGGTGTTATTTGTAGATAAATGATGGTATTGATGGTGATTATTGGAGGGATGGTGTAGGTAGTGGTGATGTTGTGTGGGTGCTGATAGTGTCTATTGGAGGGACGGTGTAGGTTATGGTGACGTTGGTGGTAATGGTGTAGGTTGTAGGGATGGTGTTGGTGGTGGTGTTGGTAGTGGTGACGTTGGTGTTGTTTTTGTTGTTTGTAGGGACGGTGTAGGTAGTGGTGGTGTTGGTGGTGATGGTGTAGGTTTTAGGGCTGGTGTCGGTAGTGGTGACGTTGTTTTTGTTGTTTGTAGGTAAATGGTGGCGTTGATAAAGGCAATGCCAACGATTGTTGAGGCCGCAGCATTAGTATAGTAATGCATGTCGTTTAGTATAAATGTAGGGGACAGTTAATGGACATGAATATTGAAATGATAACCATATTGATCGATTAAATGTATCTTCTATGTTTTCATCTATTGATCAGATTCAATTTTAACCTACCCTCTGCTGAATCCAAAGTCCAAGCCACCATTCACTGAATGAAACCGAAGAAATGGCTAACACATACAGCAGGAACACAATAGATATCACTATATTGCCTCCGGCTGCACAAACGTAGCTCATGTATGAACCTACACTTATTCCGCCAGATTGTGATGTCTCTCTGTCGGTCAGAATACCTGGAAAGGACATAATATTCAAAATGTTATGCTTAAAGATATTACCATATTCATTATAAAATAAGTATTGCTTAGATCGGTGGCTTTTTGGGAAAGGTGGAAGACAATGTGTTCAGGATAAGTAAATGTCTTCTGCTTCATCGATGGCACCCGCCATGTAAATCTAAGTAGAATCCAAGTAACGGCAGGTCCTCACATCTAGAAATAGCATTTCCCTGTGACATCCTGATGCAGACCATAAAACGTGTTCAAAGTCTTCATCAAACTGCATCTTTGCAAATCCTGTATTATACGTTTGTCCGTCAGCAGTCGACAACTATCAAGAAAGTAATGATTTTCGGAGCAAGCTCTTTAGTACCGAATCAACTGCGACATGTTAACACTATAGGTAAGGGAAGCAGAGGTATTACTATCAAAAAAAGGAAAAGTTCACTATTGGAAAATCAAACTCGTCATATTTTAAATAACTTACAATACATACACAAAGTACAGAATAAGTCTGAAGTATACTTTTTGTAAATTTCCTAATTATTTTTATTGAGCCTAAAGACTTACACACTTCATAACATAATATTATCACATCACAGTATATTGAGGAACCATGAGACTGAGGAACAGTCTGTAAGACTAATTGAAAGATATCACGAACCGCACCATATATATCATAGGATTGTTTGTCAATCCGTCAATCGATAGACAAGTGCTTGGTCACCAGTGATGGAAACCAAGGTATATATACAACTGTTTTTATCATAGCAGCAACAGAAATCAAGCCTTTAAAATGACATTGAATTCCGTTTCTGTAGATAGAAAGTCTACAAACAGAGTTCAGATCCAATAGGTACATGTACATGTATATGTAATTTATATATCGTATTATCAACCCCGTTTAACATAACATTGATGACAAATAGCCGAATGAAATATTGAATTGAAATGGTGTACAAAAAGCTTTTGCTCTATCATAAAGCCTGTCGATCTTGGAATCAGAAACTGTAAAATCTAACTTTACCAGTAATGGATACGGCAGTGCATCGATTGAACAAGAAAAATAGAGAACGGAAAACATTGATAGTTGTTCCTAAGGTAATATTGGTTATGACACTTGAGAAAGGAATGAAGGGAGAAGAGAAGGAATGATAAGACAGTACAAAATTCACAAAAACCCTTTTCATAGTTGTTGTCATAGTCAACCGTTCCTGAAGAATCATTCTGCTGTTGTATTTTGGATATATCAATAGATTTCTCCTGGTCTATATCATTGTCGGCGAACTTTGTACCATCTGTAAATGTAAGGATCCTCGTATTAACATACATTCTACATATCATATATTACTTAATCTGTATCTACGCAGGCCGTGACGTTTACATAACAGCTAGTTTATAGTATAAATTTGTCATTCATTCTTAAAACATAAAGTTTGTATATCAAAGATTTGATTTACAGAAGTCGTAAAGCGCTCTATCAATTCATAAAAGAGATATCTAAAGGCCCCCCTAAGGAAATATACGTATGATATCACATATTTAACAAAATACACAGTAAAACATTACTTTATAAACTATCTTCAGTTTGGGAGTATCTTGTTTAAAAGATGGGCGTTCATCAATTATTTCGAAGCATCTATCGATTGACATATTGGGGGAAATGTTTGGCGTGGATTGGTTAAAACATCGATGTCAGTAAGATTTTTGGAGCTGTTGATAAGGCAACAGCATGAGTGTTCTCGTAACAAATTCCAGGAAAAACTATGAAAGATACAAGTGACGAAACTGTAGTTTGCACTCACTTGAGGCCACCTAACTTAACTTTGAGTCATCACAGCCACTGCCATCCCATAATAGGTTTATATGCAATTGCGTTAAGACAGCTGAAAGATCTTTGGAAGTTTTGGTAAGAGGGCGCATCTATAGTTTAGAGAAAGTTATGATAATAAGAGCAAGACACAAGAAAACATTACCTTCAGCACGTGTCTCGTCTAGGTTGTAGTTGAATTGTTCCATCAACCTTTTGTAATGTCCCTCCTTGGCCAACAACCACTCGTATGATCCATGTTCGGTTATTTCACCATCATCCATCACGTAAATCTCGTCGCAATGTTTTAAATACTGAATAATATCATTATGAATAATAATAACATGGCAGTCGTCTATGTAAGATTTTAACAACTCTAAGTTGCGGCAAATATGTAAATAACGCTATTATACTTTTGAAATATTACTATAATCTACTCTTTTTAACTATATATTTTGGAACAATATTTTGTTGATTTTTAACATTTGTATTTGTCATTTCCCATTGTGCTAAATTAGTCAAACAAACATCCAGGTAATGTTTTTGAAGAGCAGCGTATCCATACGTCGCTTAATTTGTTGATCACATTTTTGTTTTTAAATATTTTTCGCGAAATACTTTTTGCAGGTTATTTTTATTGCGATGTAAGAAAACAACCTTCATTTATTTATATATTCCCTAAATGGCGGTAATTGAAGGAAATGTTGGAAAATTAGTTTGTCTTGTTGGACATTCAGCCTAAAGGTGTTTCGTGGGAAAGGTGACATGAACTAAAAGCAAATTGTTCATTATTATAGACAGTATAGACAGTATTTACTGTCCAAAATTGAAAAAAAAAACTTTGCATCATCATATATGTCCATAATTTTTACCTGCAATTGGTGGGTTACTAAAACAACAGTTTTATCCCTTAAAACTTTATCAATGCATTTGTGGAACAGGTGCTGCCCAACATGGACATCAACAGCAGACAGCGGGTCGTCAAGGAGATATATGTCGCGTTTACTGTAGACGGCACGTGCCAGGATCACGCGCTGTTTCTGACCACCACTAAGATTAGTGCCTTTATCACCAATCTGAAATGAAAGGTTTTTTTAGGAATATTTATGTTTTCAGTGTTTGCCATAATACCATGATTAAATTAAAGAAGACATCTCTTAGATTTCTGATTATCAATACAGATTGATTGATTAGATATAAGACATCAGGACGTATATAACATATGCTACAGATATATGATGTCCTCCTTCTTGGTTTGTTGTCTCCCCTATTTCTGTCGGTTTTTTTTGTATCCAGTTCTTATTCTGATAATACCTTTATGAAGTGTTCCAGGTCCTTCAGATTTCAGGAAACCAACACAACCATAAACATTCTTTTCTTGATTGTTTCCAACTTCTTTTTCTATCATTTTCTTGATTTCAATAACACTCAAATGGCTTATTGTTTTAAATTTTCTTGGATTCCTTTCAAAAGCATTACTTGCTTTGCTACAACCAAGCCCGGTGGTGCTCGATAGTTTGGTAAGTTCTTACTTTGCTGTGATGCTACTTACGAAGGGCTTTTAATGGTTTTATTTTATATAGATATTGTTTACCTCCGGGTAAAACCGGCAAAACAATAATAAGAAAGTGTTACCTCAGTCATGTCACCATTGGCCAGTATACGGAGATCTGGATCCAAGCTACATGCGGTTAAAACCTTTCTGTACCTGTATGGAAATTAATTAACTAATCAATTACGTTAAGATTAAATAAATAATGATCTTTTATATTTTATTGTAGTTAACCAGGGTTTTACTTTCAATTGATCGTTATGTGCAGACAGACTGTTGCTGTTAGAGATACTTCATGCCTAAACGTGAACGATTTAGCAAAAACAAAAAACACATTGAAATTGTATATCTTCAGTAGAAATATTGTTTGTACGTATTTGTTATGAATGTGTATCACATGTGTGTTAAATCCAAGATACGAAGTGTAGTATGGATGATATCGTTTAATAATCGCTATGTTCATGTAAAAATCCAAATTTATTAAATGTGAGGGATGCAGACGAACATAGTTTGATTTGTTCCAATATGATAGCTTTGGGTCCCCCAACACAGCTTTATTTACAGTTTATATATGTTAGCATTAAGGCATTATACAGCATTGCTATTTCCGATGTCCTACCAATCTGGATTATAGGGATTTCCAAAAAGGACGTTTTCCCTCAACGTCCCGTTAAATATCCAGGCCTGCTGTGCTGCGTAGGCTACGGAACCGTCAACAGCCAGACGTCCAGTTAGCAGTGGCATCTGACGTAAAACAAGAGGTATTGTAAAGAGTCTTATTCATATTAAGAACTGCTGAAATATCGAATTAAAAAGACTCATGGAAATGTCTGTTGAAATCGTGATGTAACTAAGTTTCAACCACGATACATTGTCCATTTTATTTTGTGCATGGAGTTGTAAAGATAAAGAATATACTGCTTTAAAAAAAATCAAACAAAAATTATAATATCTATTTGACTTGGACTTAAATACAAATGTAAAATTGTTTTGATAGCATCGGTTATGATGATTTTCTGGATACAAAACATTACAATAATAACATTCTTATCCACCGAACTAATAGCACTATAATTACCTACCCGTCCGATCAGTGCTTGTAACAAGGACGATTTGCCACAGCCGACAGCTCCACATATTCCAATATGCTTCCCCTATACACAGAATAGTGCAACTAAACGTTAGTTGCTTTGTACATTACATCTGTGATATATTAACGGGTTATTTCCCTTTTACAACGTTAGGAGTGTTGTTTATAACTCAGACCTGAGTAGCACGATGTATTGTATGAGGTATACATTATTGTAGATTTGCTATCATTATATTTACCATTGTAGCGCTTCATTGAATTTGCCTTTGTCCAGTTGGCATGCATATTGCCTATGAATGCCAACTGAAAGCAGTTCAATGCTTAAATTAAGTGCATTTTGCACCTTGTAGACGATATACATGTGCAATAAACATCAACATGAAGTAGTTTATGGTTGAAATTGATACGATAATCGAATTCATTGATGTCAAAATCTTCGTTGTGATGTGTTTGTAATAATTTTCCGCATGCTATTGCCATGTCCACACGGAACTGCGCCACCGTTTTTGCCGAATCTTGTCATGCAATACTATACTAAAAGAATATCTTATCATGACAAGAAATATAGAGTTTGCTATAAAATAGTGTAATTAAGATGGCTTTGATTTAAAATAAAGTTAGGAAGTGCTATATCATCTTTTGTATACTTTGTAACTGCTTTATATTTAGCATAGTAATGACATTAACTAGTGCTGTTGAAGGGTTGAATAAATCTATGAAAGTTTTAGATTTTTAGACATTATTTCCCCATATCTTACCCTACTTACCCTAATGACTGTTAGATTGATGTTCTGCAGTACTAGCGATGATGACTCGTGGTTTGATTCTAAAATAATAATAACAAAGAATGATATTGAATGAGCAAGCATCTTATTTTATTGTGCACAATCGTCCTTAATAAATACATTTTAATTAAGTATGACAAAGAAAGTATCTCCCCTAAGAAAATTTAGCGAAACAATAGCGACTGAACTTAAAAGTCAATCAAAACAATAACAATAACAAAACACGAGATAAGGAAGCACCCATTAAAGATTTATTGTTTTGATATAGAAAGACATACAAAGTAAACACTTAACTCAAATTAACACAGAGAATGAAAATCCAGGTCTAAAATAACCCAAAACATAAACCTAAGTTGAATATTTGCTTTGTAAATCAAGTTTTTATTAAAATGAAAAAAAAGTAAAGACATTTAATTAAAAACCATAAGAGCATATTCTTGATATATCAAGTTTTCCAATATATCTTTTTGATTTGTATTTGTTCAGATCTCTTGATATCTTTCGAATTTTTGAAAACATAGACTCGATGATTAAATAATGCAGTCTAGAAATACGAGCGACTTCCCTAGTTTTATGTTGATTGTTACCGACATGCTATTGTTGATATAACCGGAAGCGTCAACATGGTAGCCACAAAGGGTACAGGAGACGATTACCGTTAATGAGCTCCTTTTGTTGTGTCCGTTTTTCATTGTTATTTTTTTTGTCGGGGTTCCTGATTCTTTTATTTCTAGTTTTATTACCGTATCAGCTTTAAGTTCATATTGTCACTGCTGGATGACTCTGATCTATTTTTATTTTCAATTTTGCTTTTTAATATTAGTCATTTATGAAAATCGTTTACTGGGATAAGTTTGTATCAGCATATATTCTCATACTTTCGGATTCCTCAGACGTAAGATTGTCGTCTGGATTGTTGTTGTTATTGCCATCCCACGTAAACACCGTATCATGGAGCTCAATAGCATTATCAGAATTGACGACATCTCGTCCTGGTGGCTTGAATTCTTCTTCCAACATGAAACGCTGTAATGAAGAAAAAAATACATTGTACATGTATCAAGGGCTCATGTGCTTTGCTAAAACGATTGCAGATATACTAAACTAATAAAAACATGCCAAGAAACATCACAACCCATATACATTGTTTAGGAAACAACATGCACTTATTCAACAATAAAGGATTGTTTTTTTAAATAAAAAAAAACATTTTGTTAGATTGAAAACAAAACAACCAATTTGAATATACAATTTACCATGGACCAGCTTCTATGTGAACAAGAAGAAATGGAAAAAATGTATTGTGAACTTAATTAGAGACTTTATCTCAGACGGTTTCATTGCATGTTCCATACAGCAATTAAATGAGTATAAAACTAGCACTCTACTGTACAATGAGAAAATGTTCTCACCACGAAAACAGAAAAAAATAACATTTTAAATTGAAAACCTTAAGAATGTGATTGATTGTTTACAGGTTTTTTTGTTGTATGATAATGTAATGATAAGCGGTAAATACCAACGCGCACTCTGTCAATATAAAGCGCGGTCTAAGGGAGATACTTCCACACACTGGTACTGTTATCAGGCGTATACACATCCTACTCTCACACTATCAATTTGTAATTGGTACGTTTATATATTACAATATTTTTACATTTGTGTTGCCTAACCCATTGCATCGTTTTTTGTACATATAGCACTCTCTCCTTTATTTCTTTTGGATAAAACTGTAGCACAGTGGGTCAAGCATTCTATTGGTCAGATAGCGTTATCGTTTACAGCTATGGTATAATAAACTGATGTCGAGGGTTAGAACCCTCGACATCAGTTTATCAGCCCCACTGAACTTTTTACACTTAGAACAGTGTTGTCGATTATACGTTTTTTTTTATATTACCTTAATAATGTTTTTATTTTCTTCAAAAAAGTCGATCAGGTACATTTTTCGTTTTAGAAATGTAACTTCAAAATTGTAATCATACCGGGAAAAACTGTTTTCAATGCGTGGTTACAGTTTTTTTTAGTTGGATCTGATGTTTTTGTTTTTATTGGATTTAGCAATATAGAATCAGGACCGGTGATATTTACCCTTGTTACATAATGTACCTGGTGTCCGGATCATTGTAGTAGGGCTGTAAATATAGGTTTTGTGTGAGTTGAAACAATACTTCCGGTAAAAAGGATTCTGGGAATGGATTTATCTGAGATGCACTACGTTTCGCTGTATACCTTTATTCTCTCAAAACTTATCAAGGTTTCTCCAAATATCCGAGCGGAGAACGGAGCGTACGACACTACGATCCGCATGAAGGTGAGGGTAGCGACGATAGAAAAACCCTGCAATATAATTATGAAATCAAAATCAAGTACAAACAGTGCTAAAGTTTACTGCTATATTGCTACTGCTACATTGCTACTGCTTTATTGCTACTGCTACATTGCTACTGCTATATGCAAAGTATGTCTTGCTTGATATTGTTATAATGAATATTAATTAATATCATTATGGTTGATTTAAATTGTTTATTAATTATTGTAAAGTAGAATAAGTGTGTACTTTTGTATATTGTTATAATAAGACATACATTTTATTGACTAATGATATCAACAAATTTGATGACATGTATTTTTCACGTTTGCAATATGGTTGATCTAATTCAATTGTTATGCCACTGGCAAGCCGTATTTGTACGGTATTTGGTAGATTCCTTGTTGGTGTATTTCCTTTCCATAGAAAATATTAACATATAGGGATTAAAATAATAGTATGTCATATACGACTTAGATATGGACTTAGTGTAACAATAACTGACTTACCGTCGACGCTGTCAGTTCATTTCCCGCATTGACGTACGTTGCTATGGTGGCTACCGTAGCTAGTGACGGGGTAATCGGGATGATGGCAATGGAAATCGCATTTAATATTGTCGATTGCAACAGGGGTTTAGTTTCAGTTTCCCTTATATCTGTCGAACATCGTGAAATTTGTTAGATAGCAATTCATCTAAAATATCATATATTTCATAGTTATGATAAGAAAAAATGGTCCTTTTAGAGGGATTCATATACTATTTTCCACACATGTTCTCACATTGATTTGTTCTCCCCCCCCCCTCCCATCTCTTGCCCAAAATGTGGTACAACACGACATAGTAAAAACAAATAATGCATAATTTTAAGACAATGTATACACAAAATAGGACAATATTTGGAACGTACGGTGTATCATAGGGATAATTCAAATTTAAATAGCCATGCTAAACTGCATGGCAGGCGTGTGCAAAAGTTCTTAAGTTCATAAAGCAGTCTCGCCTGCGGACGACAACACCGTTATCGACACTTAAACAACGTTTTGAGAAGCTTTGATTATGACGTCATTATGTAAACGTCATACGAAAGTGTCGTCATAATAGTGAAGGTCACTGAGTACATCCATATGGGGTCCATAATAAATGTTCCATATTGGACGTGTGTATTTTACATACAAAGAGATGGGTAAAAAGAATTTTTCTGGTTTTCCGTTTTACAAACAATAAATTGTAAATGACCAACTTACCCATAATAGAATTTTTAAAAGAGTCTTCCCACGCATACATTTTAATCAACCTCATGCTAGCGAGAACTTCGTTCATCTTTCTTATCTGTCCAGGGGGAATACAAGACATACATTGTACAGTTGTCTTGATAGACACACGTTTCCCACACGAAGAATTATGTAAATGTCGATATTCTGTAGTACCTGACCTGAGACAAAGTGGACATTAGAAATGACAATTTTTATCTAATTTATTATTCTATTACTGATTTGACTTCCTGTAGCCCCCTTTCGAAATGATAGTTGTTTCTGTCGACCTCTGAATAATTGTTTGAATTGTATTGACTGCCCGTTTACGGATTATGGATAAGTGACAATGATGACAAAGCTCTATCGTAAATGTTACCTTTACGTACATATTAAAGATGGATCTGATTATATATAAAACCACACACAATACATAACAGTTACATGATACATGGTTTCATGCATATGGTTAAAATATTACTCATTATTTATTATGAAAAGATTCTTGTAACACAACCAATAAGTTCTTCTATGTGACGTTCCGGTGACTAGTACAAAGGTGTAACATGTGTACGAGTTGCCAACAAATCGATGTCGATTCGGCTTCGCTGTTAGCGTATGTACAATTAGTTGTTACATATGTACCGAAATGACGCAATTCCGCTACGCTTTGTTTACTCATTATTGTAATTATCATTAAACTTAAAGGTTTCTAACGCTCACCCCTTTTATGGTGTATTACGTTAAATAGTTTTGTGGCAGTACCTACCCTTATATCTGTCCATGCTAACGTCTTTCGTCTGAGGCGTGAGATTATTTCAATAAGCAAAGCCTGAATAAAAAATATAAAGGAATGGCAGAGTTATTTTAAACCCATTGCTTGATAGGAGATCAACTGTGGCCTAACGCTTTTACAGATGTATTTGAATAATCCTAGAATGATTCATCCCAATTAGTATGTTCTTGTCATACATCCCAATCCGATATGGCTCAGTGGGACAAGTAGTGGCTTGTGATATAAATAGTAGCAGTAATGCAAAGCTACGGGAGATTTTCAAGTCATAAGATACACCTTTTAACGACGTAATGTGAATTTCAAGATACTGATGGATTCTGTAGAAGACTACGCTTGACAATGAGTGAAACGACAGCATGCTGAGTTGGATCCTGCAGACAAAACATCTACATGGTATAAGTCTTGTCGGCAAACATTATTACATTTCCTGTATGCAATTAAAATTGAAAGCTTAATAACCATGGGTATCCTACATATATAATTAAAACTTCGAAAGAAGAAAAACTAACCGATCACTCCTCTGTACAATCTTGACAAGTATATATTCAAAAAATAATGAAACGGACGTGCCTTTCTTTATCACTGGTGTTCAGATAGTTGCTAAAATAGTCATTGTCAAAAGACTTGTTCCAAGTACTATTGAATCAGGGTTACAGTCACATTACTGTTTCCAGCAGAAATTTAATTTACAAAATGTGTACTTTGAATAACTCAACCGAAAACTTTCCTAAACTTTCTAATCAAACATTTGCGCTTTTTACACATCCATACCTCTTAGTTGTCTTTCATTTCTATTATGGTGACTGACGAATGATTTTGAATCTATTATTTCTGGTACCTCTATCGGTCATTCCCTCCCTCCCCCTTCTATCATGAAACCAAACGTTTTCATTTTTGATAAACACGTTCAATTGCAACGGGATTCCACATGAGTATCAAATTAGTCAAGCTGTTTCCATTCTCTCGTTCTTGAGAAGTAGTCTTTATAGTTACAATTGATACTGGATGGACGGAAGAATTACTCAATGTTTTATTAATCTTGGGTGAGCTTAAAACACCTAGCTATATGCATGCATATCAAGAAGAATCGGTTACCTTACCTGTATTGCGAAGATGACAATGAATATTGCAAAAGCTACGAAGCACCACAGTCCAATGAGGTAGTAGATATATACGGTCCCTATTATCAGGTAGATGGGCATGGCAATGAGATACACGAACATCAGAGTGTTCATAAACACTCTCAAGGCATCCGACCCAAATATTGTTATTATCTAAAAACAATCATTTCTATAGGTTATTTAATTCAACAATTTAAACGTTAATTTGGTTAATGATAATAATAAATAAATCTATTTCCCATTAATTAGTCCTGCCATTGACTTTCCAAAGATGAAGACTTCAAAATTTTGATAAATACTTCCAAAGTGACTGATGTACTGAAAATAGTTACACAATAGGGATGTTGTATTGATTCTTTATAAATTGTAAGATGTGTTGTTTTATGTTAATGCATAATTCAAGCGTTTCCGATATTCTTGATCATCGATTTCAACTGTCTTGCCTGTTTTTACTATGAGCACAACTTATATTTGGTAGGAAAAACATTTAACGTAATGTATAAAAATGGTAGAGAATGGAAATGGGTCATATTAGAGCGATAAATACAAAATAATTAGAACCAAAATGTATCACAAAATTGCATGGTACATTTTGTAGCCTCAAAACGAATAAGAACAATTTTCTATAATACACGTACCAACCCTTTCTCAACACTGTACACAATGTCACCACTTCCAGGACATAGGCATTGTCGTTTTAACCGATCTTTCCAAATATGGTCTTTGTTTGTACGTACGTTATCTAGAAATTGTACTTCATTTAGTGTTGCATGTCTACAATATCTTTGGTCTGGTTTGCCTATAATTTCGGTTGATAAGTGGGAGATGAAAAGGCTATCATTATGTAGGTATGTTGGATATCTACCCTCTAGTGCAGAATTCGGGTCAGAACCGAGGCTTTGCCGGATGTTGACCTCAATCTTACACCCTTGTGTAGAATATCCATTTCCTACATGTCTACATTTGATAGACTCTGTTAGACATTCCGGAACATCGTGTTGAGTGTTTGTCACTGTGCGAAGGGTCTTCATGTAAATCTTTCCTTTCGAAAGGGTTCGAATTACGTTTTACCTCTGTACTTTCTTGTGTATTGTTTAATCTTTGTTTTGTAGCATACCTAACTCAGTTTGTGGATTTGTGCAACATTAATCGTTGGTTGAAAAGTACAAACTTACTTCAGACGCAATCCTCCCATTCATACTCTTCAACTTCAGAAGTTTTTTGTATGTCATTCCCAGTATTGCAGATCGAAATCTTATTCCTAGATGTGAAGGAAGTAAAACAAACACATATGCCATATCATTAACACTGGAGGGCAATTATCTCAAATAAAAGTCAAGAACTGAGGTGTTTTTCAACAATGCGAAACGTGTATTCAAGCATCAAACATGAACATGGTGTTATTGCATTTCTAAATAATGCCTTATATATTTAAATGGCTATATCTGTTGAGTGTAATTATTAGAAATTTCATTAACTGAAATAACTTCCGAAACCCATATATTTTATTATTATCATTATTATGTATTAATAGAACTTAATTTTGAAAATGGTTCACTTAGTATGTTTTGTTGGTTACATATTAAGGTGTTTACATTAAGTGGCAAATGCATGATGTCCGCCTGCATATGGGTTCCTTACACATGTATACCACATTTACTACGGTTAGAAACCTGTGTTAGTTCATGGTTCCAAGACAATAAGATATCATTAAGAGAAATATTACAGTTAATGACTTGCCTGTTTGTGTTCCGTAAAAGAGGATAAATGATTGCGAACAGCACCTTAAAAGTTGTCCCACAACAGTGAACATTACTAATCCAATGGCGTAAGTCACAGACGTTTCTGGTCCCTCTAGATATCGGGTTATGACAACGGTGATGTAACCCTGTAATGTCATCAAACATAACAAAAATAAGTACCCGAGCTCAGTAACAAAAACGCAATTTAAGTATGGTTAAAGACAGAGATATGCGCGAAATGAAGTTGTAATTAATGTGCCGGCAAAAGTCATGAACTCCTTAGTTTCATATGTTCTTTAAATAATTTTCGAGCTGTAGTAAACGTTTAACCAAACGGTTCTAATGAGAAATTTAGATTTAAGAGATAAAAAAAACTACAAAAGAACTAATTGTGGTACTAACCGTACAGAGAAATGTAATGATGGCGTTAAAACAGAGGGCTATAAACACAATCAGTAGTCGAACCCATATGAATTTCAGCCACAGTCTGAGGATTGAGCATTTTTGTCGTCCGTAGGTCTGTAGTTCCTCCATCCACATAGGTTCTAATCTGACAAGAGAAGAAAATAATTTGGTAGAAATTGTGTCTCAACCGGATTTCTGGAATAAGATATCTCATTTCTTTTCCTATTTTTCAAACATTCAGAAAACTCTTTTGTATCTGTTCATCTCTTAAAATGATAATAAGGATGAAAATTAACCCACATAGAAACACGTTGATTGTTAACAATCGGACAAGAATCGAGGCAGATTTAGGACGAACAAGAAAGTAAAAACTCTGAAAGAAAATGTTTAAGACTTTAAAATTGAGAATATAACTGCTAACTACGTTCGTTTATTGCTTTCAATTAATACTAAAACTCATGTTTTAGGTTTTTAAATTTTCCGAAACGAGGAAGCATGAAAAGACCTTAAAGCAATTTTCAAATGTCTTAACTGATCAAAAATATTATACAAAAAGTAATACACAAATGCTTTTGGTGACCTGTTTTAATAGATGTTTTGGCTAACTGTTTTTTGTTTATACTAACTTGAGCACGATTTGTTCGAAAAATAGTTATCGAATTAACTTTTTAGTGTATATTAACATTTTGATGCTTTAACTTAATATTAATAATAAAATAGTATTGACGGGACCCAAAGGAATAGAAACAAAATAAGACAGGTGACGTCAAATAGTGATTGTAAATTACATTTTCAACTTGAATATGTACTTGTTATCACTCTGTCTGAATATCTGTAAATAAACTAGATACTTCATTATCATACATTTGGATCTAAATTAATTACAACAAGTTCATATAATAATACGATTTTTTTTGTGAATGACCCTAGCGGCTAAACAACGACTGGTCTGAGTACATCTTGGCTAAATTAGATGAACAGACCACATGGGCTTTGTGAAGTTCCAATTTAATCCGCCTTGCTACTTCCAGTCGCCATTTTGTAAACAGGGGCCTAATCTCGAGCTGATGTGCGTTTGAAAGAGTTTGAAGTATTGCAAAGCTTCTAAACGATCATGCCCAGAACATACTCTCTAAGGATAATGTTTTTGATAAATTTACTATCAATTATTTATTATATTTCTTTTTTGTTTATTCTTTAAACTATCTTTAATTAATAAATATCAAGATTTTGTGAATTGAAAAATTGCATTTTATGACGTAACCGGAAGCGGACTTGATACGAGAACGTGACCCGGAAATAGCTCACAACATAATCAGGACAGTAATAATAAACAGACGTTTATCGAACATTAACAGATTAATAACGTATGTATTGAGACACTGATGTGCTAGAATACAACACAAGGTAACACTCGTTTAATCCATTACTATCACATCAAGTACTAACTGACATTTATGCGAAAATATCAGCATTAAATGTTTGCGATCGCCCAGACCTACTTTCGTTTTAGAGTTTACATACATTTGTACATGTCGGCATCAACAGTATACCTTAACTTGTGTCCTTCATCGTGCCGATGATTATACATAGGCGCATTCGAGGAAAAGTTCGTGATTAAAAGCTTGTGTGTGTTGTTTTATCTTAAAATTATCGGATAGTGGCATGTTACTTCAAAATACAAGATATAAGAATCATTATTTTACGTTGAATAAATGTCATTGTTAACATAAGCTCTAAGGAGCTTGTATTTCGACAACCATATATATATATATATAAATGGTAAAAAATTGTAACAGTGTAAGGTAAACAACATTTTTTTTTTATCTCAAGATACCTACGTTGGAAGGATTAAGATAGAGAGGCTAAATAATCATGCTGTACAAAATTTGTCACTAAAACAACTTACTTAAAAACCAGTCCAGAGGGCAGGTGATTGGGACATAGCATTTATTGGTAAGCAGGAGCACAGGTTTGATAGCCGTTAATATTAAAAGACGTTTTTAGTATTGCTGCTGCTCGTGACGCCAGTGATGTATTTTTCGCTTACAAGTTAAAGCGTCGTTATACAAAAAGAAGAATAGTACAAATTCAAAAGTGTGAATTGCCTACAGCTCCTGTCAAAAGTCAAAAACATTCCTCTCATGTTCTATCTCGTCACCTGGACGTTTGTAAGTTAGAACAGCTGGTCTCGCAGACGCTTAAACTATGTACACAGTATATATACAGTTATACCGCAGTATTGTAATTGTCTCGGTATGGCTACGAATGCGTTCCAGGTCAGGTAATAGAGCATCAAATGTATTAAAGGCAAAGAAAGCACCACTTCACGACAAGCAGGGATTCATAGGGGGACAATGTTATTAAAATAACATTCATACAGTGCATGCAAGCTGAAATTAACAACTCATTTGCTTAAAATAGCAAGTCATCATTTCCATGAAATTATCCAAATAAATAAGATCTTTATGTCAAAATAAACTTCAGGTTTGATTCAACAGCTATACATGGTCACTTAAGGACGGCCTCCCCCATTTGCTAGATGCATGCGTGTGGTGAGTTTGTGCATAATTAATTTGTGTTTTGGCAGTCTGTGGTATGTTCATGTTTGTCTCCTTGTGATAGCGCAGGACTGATGCTGACTTTATAGTGTAATTTCATTGGAGCATACTGCTGAAGACGCATGTTATTTTACGATCGAACCTCGTTATCTCACCATCTTCAATAGCCAAAGGTTCATAATTTAAATTTGTACTATTCAACCTTGGCAGATTTAGCCTTGTGTTAAACTTCCCTCCCCTGCCACCTTGCATAGACACTTAACTAGCAAAACTTTAAACTTTCAAAATTATTTCAGCACTGGTCGCCTATGTATTTCCCTTGGTTATCATTTACAGTTAGAATATGGCCAATTATCTCTACCAACTGATCATATACAGAAAATTTTCTCTAAGTAGCGTCCTCCTTTGTTTTTTTTTACATAAATCATGACATAGTCGACAAGGCAACTTGGTACTGGGCGCCGCCATTATTATTTACATGCACAGGGATTTGGTATTAATTTCTAATCCTCAGTTCACATATGTGTATTATATAATGTATGATATAAAAAAAATATGTGGACCATAGGATGGTAATTCGTGCTAAGTCCCTGTGCCAGGTTCAATAATTTGGAAGCTTAGAGAACAAAGCTGAATCCGCTAAGGTTGAATACATGAATATGTGAATACAAAATGAACGCTTGCTAGCAAAGATGAGATGTAACAGGCTGGACAGATAATGACAACAAAAACAGGCTGAAAACATGTATGGAATGTGTTTTTCTTAAGGGAGGCTGTATAAACACATTATGAATATGTAAAATCAAGTCCATTTTACCCGAATTACCTGACATTATTTTCAATACCTTCAGTTCATCTATATTTCCACACTGTTTTCTGTATAAGGGATAGGAATCAGTTTGTTTTTTGGGGTTTTATAAATCCTTGCAACCACTATTAAGTCATATGTATTTAAGAAAGGTCTACCAAATATCTGATTCTTTGACAACTTTATTACAAAGATATAGTTATTTGTTGACATTTTTCTGCTACAATACATGGAGTTTCCTCACAGGATGCTGATAACCGAAAAAAGTCTGAAACCTTAATCATATCTTTTAGAATACTATGTTCGATCCACTAAACACCAACAAACAACATTTAAACCCTTCATTCCCTAAATCTGTGATTAAAAGGATTGTAAAAAAAAAAAATATATGTGTTCGCTTAAATGTTAAAGAGTAACTGTAGTGCTGCAATATTTTTCAAGTAAAGAAAGATTGATAAATAGAACCCTCAAAAAAATCCCATTTTTTTTTTTTTTTTTGCAAAAATACCGAAGTTTTAACCTTTTTACTAATTTTCACACCTGAGCGCAAATCGGAAAATCTCCGATTTTGACCTACGACCGAAAGCGACGTAGCAGCGGTGACCCAAACTCAGGTAAGCTCGGGTAGCCATTACGAAACACTATCAAAACATCTTCGTCACGTCCGTGATTTACAAAGAAAACACGCCGGTATCTCGCTGTGGTCGACGTTGTGTTGCAGGAGGATGCTCCAATACTACTTTCAATGGAGTTTCCATGCATACTTTTCCTGCAAAGAGATCTGATATTCACCGACAATGGGTTGCTTTTGTGAGAAGAAAACGCAAAGATTGGGAGCCGACTCGTCACACAGTGTTGTGCAGTGCCCACTTCGAGGAGGATTGTTTTCCACTGAAATTCCGGTTAGGACTGTTAGAATCAAGTGGGAAGACTGTGAAGAGGACACTAGAAGAAGATGCCGTCCCTACTATTTTCAATAGTGCAACGACACCGACCATGCCGACACCGACCATGCAGACATTTCATGGGAAACGTTCCTCAAGCCCAGAGACTGAGTTGACAACACCGAAGACTGTGAAAAGGCCTAGGTCGGCATTCGTTAAAATGGACATCCAACGTGTGAGTGTTTATATGTGTTTCATATATAAATATATTATCTGTAATCTTGTACTGATGACCAATGATTTCTACACGTGTAACCTGTTTCGACGGAAATCCTATTTCGACTTTTTTGGTTAAAATTAATGTGACACTGTGCAGGGCCCTGTGTGAATGTGTAAAGGTAATAGCTTTAAATCTCAATATCTTAGTAATATGTCAATCTTAACAAATTATAAAACAGAAATTTCCTAAATTAATTGCATTACAAAATATTGATATTAAGGGGAAATCTCTATATCATGCTTATTTACAAATTGCAGTTGATCAGAGAGTATGAAGAACGTGAGCCAGAAGATGCTTCATGTCCACAGGCACCGACACATATTGAAGAAGATGGAGGTAAGATATCTTTTTATCTTTGTGTAAATTGATGACACGCAATGATTGGCCCCAATTAGTTGCTAACAAAACCAGTCTGATTTTTTTTTTAATAATATTGACATTTTTATTCTATGTTAATATTATCTAACCTAGTCAATGGTAAGAAGACATAAACCCGCAAGGGATCGATGACTTTTGACCAGACATGGATAAATGCACTAACTTTATTTACCCTGCCATGGGAGGTTGCGAGTCTCACTAGAAATAATCTGGAGGTCCTTATAAAATCTTGACGGCTCTGTTAGTCTGATGTGCATGATAACTTCCCTGACACAAGATGAACCTTGCAAAATAAAATAGTAATATGTTTTTAGAACATAAACAACAATAATAAACATACAAAAGAATTATATCCTGATCTCTAACTGTATAAAATAAAAACTAGCTCTTGAAGATTGAAAATATTTATTTTATCAATGTACCTTGTATGATCAATGGCCATGATGTTTCATAATTGATATATATCATGTTTCCTTTTTTCAGGTAACTGTTGTCTCAGAGGAGCCTAAAACAAAGTCTGTAGCTTCACAGAAGAGTTTAAGTCGGCCATCACAAAGATCCCACTACACACAAACAAGATCTAAAGGAAAGGATAAAGGTAAATCACCATACACTACATGCACATGTAGTGCAAACTCTCAATTATTCTCAAACCAATGTAAATATTGCCAATATATATATGTCTATACTATAAAATTAATAAATGTATAGTTTTAAAGTTATTTAATTTTTTACTATTTCAACTCTGTTTGATGATACTGTCAGTAAGATATTCGTTGTCAAGTGTAGATTTTTTCCCCCTTCTGATTTAGATTGCTCTATTCCCTTCTGCAGATTGTTGCTGGCTGCACTGCACTTATATGAGAATGTTTCGAGAGAACAGGCGTCACTTCAAAATGGTGAAAAGAGATACAGAATCACATTCCCCAAGCAAAAGAATGGTGACTACACAGTTCGACAAGTGAGAACAGAGTGCACCTTCAGTAAGTTATATAATTATTCAATTTCATTCGTAATTTTACTTTAGAAAATAATTCAATGGTTTCAAACTGCCAATGACAGAATATGCCAGAATAATTATTTGTTTTGCTGGCATGTGAAGTTGATGGTTGGTTGGTTATTTTTTTTTTGCTGCTTTGAGAACGAGTGTTTTATATATATGTTATTATGTGGCAACTACAAATTCTCATATTTTCAATAATTTATCATCTTGTGCATTTTGATAGCACTTTATGCATATTAAAACTAATAAAAGAGCAATCATTTAAAAGGTCTAATATCTCTTTCTTGTCATGTTACAGATTATGTTACAGATTTGATGAAAGCAACCAAGGAACGGGTGAAACTTTTACAGATTCCCAATTGCGAGGTTGTTGGAGAATCGCCACCAACTTTGTTCACCCAGAGAAGTCCGAAGCTGTTTCTGGACTAATGTCCTGGTTTAGGCACTAGCCTACAGTTGAGACTTTGGTGTCTTGGATTATGAATCATGCATGGAGATATGGAGACTACACATGTTGGACTATTCAAAGTGCTGGCCCCAGTTGTTTAAAGATACTTTTTATCAATTAGGGAAAACTATAACCTGAATACAACAAAATCAAGAACACCAGAGATCATTTTACTTGATTTTTTGAGAAAAATAAATGATGTGTTTTGAGGATTAGTTATAGCCACCACTAATATCTCTAATAACATTTGAGCAACCTGGCCTTTTACATTTTAATAATTGTGATGTGTTTGAAAATAATAAAGAGACCATATGTTTGTTTTATATGATATTTAATGTAGTAATGGGAACAAAATGTCTACATAAATATCAAATTGTCATAAAAAAACAGTAGCTAATTTAAACATAAATAAGCATACAAATAAGAAAGTGTTCTGTTGTTTTCTCATTCAAATTTAAAGCCATTGTACTTATCAGGCAATCACTACAAGTCCTATGCCACCAGACTGATATCTCCCTATGTGTGAATGCCTGTGTGTGTGCTGGAAATGTAATTTGTTATGTTTGTAGTAGGGCCGTGCTTCTAACGGCATCATTTATAGTGCCACCTCACTTGAATGCTACAGCACAGATACCGCAACATCCACCCAAGACCAATTTATACTTCTACTCTGTTATGTGGGCAGGAGAAAGCACTTTATGGAAAGCCAGAGTGTTAACCACTCGACCAATCCGCCCATCTATACTGTAGGATCAGAGTGATAGGAAAGGTTCTTATTACTAAGTGATACTCAACTCTTTCACTTCGTCTAGTAGATGTTCAGGGAAAGGGTAAATTAAAGTTTTATCATATGATCTTAGTTAACCACCACCACCATCATCCACACCCTACATACACACACCTGCACTGAACATTAAATTATAACAATCTACAATTATAACACGTATTGCTCTTAAGTAATCTATAAAGGAAATATACATGCTTATCTTACAAAATATATATCAACAAAGGCCTGTTTTAGTACCGTTCCGTGTTGATGGCACATAATTCCAATTTCGAACATGTCCACACATCGTCTTCTCTGATTTCCTCTTCTCTGTCTTTGAAAAGCTTCAAAACTAGGGGAGTGACCCATCCGAATGTTATATAGGATAAAAACCCAACGTCATTCACAGGAATCGGTCCATTGCTGAAATATAGTGTCAAATAAAATAGCTACACCAGTTATTAAATAGAAACTATTACTACTAAAAAATGATAGGAAAAAAATAGGGAAAACAAAGAAGACAACGATTAACTATTTATATCTATTCCGTACTTCTTTACATAACAATGTATGATCGTTGAAACGATATGTTCTTGTTAATGTAAGGAACTGATATTATATTAAGTTATGTTAATTGCCTAACTTAACCCCAACCAGCCATCCCTTCCCATCAACAACGATCCGCTGTTCCAAATCCGACGAATGGAATTTGTACTTCTTACAGGCTATATCTCATTTTCCTTATGACTTGATAATGTCTCTGACCTCATTGTGTTAAGAAATTATCTTTACCTTACAATTGATATATCAAATATATTCGAGTAATTTCAAACAAGGCACTCATTTGCATTCTAGACTTTGCAAATACGGTAAAGGTAATTAATTATCGCTGATTTCCTAAAATGATCAATTAGCCAGTTTGTTTCTTAGAGGATTACAGGCCTACTGGTCAAGGATAAGATACGCTAAGGATGGGGTCGTTTACTATTAATTTTGCAGATTGTTTTAATCTTAAATAAAGTCTGTGAAAATGAACATTTCAAATGGTTAGGTACCCTCGTCCCTCAGTCGGTTGTATGGGACCCTGCACTAAATAATCTAAACTGACATTTAATTTAAAACCATGTCCATGCTTCAGACTTAGGATGTGCTAAGTTGTTCAACAGTTTAGACTCGACCTGGAGAGTAAGTTTAGAAAGCCATTCGTTATTACAAACAAAAAAATTAAAATGTCTTCTTCTGTGATATAGTTCTTTCTAAATAAGTTTTCTTAATTGATATATAAAGAATCATTACAATAATCATGATATAATGTACATATCAAAGAACCAATACATAAAATATTTACTGTGTTCCATTGTTATTTGCTTCCTGTAATGCATATTTCTTCATTTCCAATCATATTATTTGAGCCTTACAAAAACAGTATAGTAAAATCATATTTGAATAAAGTTGAAACATACGCTTATTGAATAAATATTTCGCATTTTAAGAAAAAATATACATTACACTTGATTTCCATCCAATAGTTTCTTTTTCTCCGAACCATTATATAAAACCCTGTCTACACGTCTCCAGAAGCAATCCATGGCTGTTCTCCATAGTACTTTGCTGAAACAATGCTTAAGTGTATTCACAGTATAGGTTTTTAGCACTCAGATGTTTTACACTTGTCTATTATAAGTTCCATGTTTAAAAGCACCAACTGTTGTAGATAAACAGCCCCATTTTGTAGCAGTTTTACAACCTGTTAAAACTTATATGTTTCCCTTTGTATTACTTATGTAACTGAAAACCAGGATTTAATTACTGGTCACAGTCTGGTGTTTATATTGATAAAAGGGATTTGAATATTCTATACAAATCAAATATGTTTAATAATACCTTCCAAAAGTCATAAATGGTAGCATGGGATAAAACTGTGACGCGCTTCTAAGGTGGTTTTGTAAGCTACAGCAATTAAAAGGCTCTTACAAATATGTAAAACATATCGATTTCTAAAACCATAAATGTACTAATGAATATTAAATAATGTATATGTAACATATTACAATAGTCGTTAATTTACAACAGAGGAAACCAAGATAAAACCTACTGCGACATATGGATATAATGACTATGTAGATTAGGTTGGAATGTACTCATAACACCCAATATTTCCACTGTAGTCCTAGCATGACGGGGCTAGGTAGCTCAGTTGGCTAGAGTGCTTACAAATCGTGTTAAGCGGGGTTAGGGTTTCGGTTTGATCTCATTGCATTTTACACCCCTGTTATACTAAACTTTTACGGTCGTTTTTTGCTTCACTTATTCTTTGTTTACATGAGGCCAAAACAGCATCTATCTAAGAAAATACATTTTGAGATTTTCCTAAAAAATCTATTCAATTCACTCTCAGGAAACAAATGATGCAGTTGATTTGTTTGGTATCTTTTGTAGAAAAAATAGCAATTGTTTTTCTTCTGTATGGAATATTGTTGAGAATTGTAGTATGTTTTATTGATTATATATAAACACGAAAAATTCAATTTGCCATTTTCCTCCGGTAAAAATGAATCAAAATTTAGAACTTCAAAGTATTGATTTCATACAAAAAATATTTATTGAAGTCATCCGGAAACATTTCATCATAATACAGGCACAACTGTTTGTTTTGTATTGCGCTTTAATCTAAAAATGTTGCGTAGTTAACATATCTAAGTCTTACCGTTGTTAGGTGACGCTGACATTAATAAGTCTTCTCATGTTGCGGCGCTATGTCGTCTGTTTGGTTTTCTGAGAATCAGACCTGCGTTAAAAACGCTGACAGTGTCAACACCGTTAGCTTTATGCTCACAGCTGTCTATTATTATACTGCAAGTAACTAAGACACAATAGTCAGCTGTGTGCGTTTTTTTTATATTTATCAGAAACCACGGGTAATTTAATAATGTAATGGTACAGAATTAGATAAACCTTCTGCTTTATTTAACACGTGTCTGACACACAGCCGCCTATTATGTCGCACCTAAGTGTTCCTGTGAAGATGCAGACGGGCCGAGTGGTTAACACTGCGACCTTCCGCGCAGGAGGCCGGGGTTTGACCCCTTAGTTGCCGTACGCATTGGATATTCAAATAAAGTGTTTCATCCTGCCCACACAACTCCAACAACCAAGGTGGATTATGATATGGTCTGAAGTGGGTGTTGCGGTTTCTTTGCTGTAGCATTCAAGTGAGGTGGCACTATAAATGATGCTGTTGGAAACACGGTCCATCACAAACAGTACACAAAACATCTCCAGCACACACGCA